CTCAGCATAATGTCCTCCAGGCTCACCCATTTTGAGTAATATTGAATGAGTTCCTTGTTTTTCAATGCAGCGTAGTATTCCATTGTGTGAATATACCACAACTTCTCTATCCATTCGTTTGTTGATGGGCACCTGGGTTGTTTCCAACTCCTTGCTATTGTGAACAGAGCGGCGATAACCATGGGTGTGCATATATCTGCTTGGATGTCAGTTATGGTCTCTTTGGGATCTATTCCCAGTAGTAGAATTACTGGGTCAAATGGTATCTCTCTTTGCAACTTTTTGAGAAAGCGCCATAGCGCCTACCACGGTGGTTGCACCATTTTACATTCCCACCAGCAGTGAACAAGGGTTCCAGTTTCTCCACAACCTCGCCAGCATTTGTTGCTTGCAAACTTGTATTTTTTTAAATGATGTGTAGTGCAGTTTAAGTTGCTAATGTAGTTCATGTATTAAGAATAATTATTTACACTGTAAAAATAGTATTGCATGTGTTACTTGTAAAACAATAGGAAGTTGAAAAGAAAAGGCCAGTAGAAAGGTGATATTTCAGAAAAAGGTTTTTGATCAGTATTGTGTGAAACTTCAGGGAGCCTCTGGTGGCATAGTCTATAAAGAGTTGTGCTGCTAACCCAAAGGTGGTGTCACAGATTCTTTTGGTTCCAGACAGTACTTACAATCTCAAAAATGTGTCCAAATTGATGGTATGAACTGGAGTGACCAAGACAGGCATCATTGTACTGTCAGTTCTGTGAAAGAGGCCTGGACTAGAAATGGGGGACCAAAGTTGTCATTTTAGCTCTACCATTACTATAATAGCTTAATCAAGTCATTTAATCTCTCTGATCCTCAATGTTTTGTCTGTAAGATGGAGATTGGATTAGATGACTCTCTTAATTAATGTCCTCGTTGAATCAGGTAGTGCCTCTTTGTGATACTGAAATGTTGAATTGGAATAAGGCTAATTTACAGTTTTTAGTTAGTGTAATTTTTTTCTGATTGATGTTACTTCCTTCTCCCAAAGAGAATTCTAACTTGATTCATATTTCTGTTTTAGGCAAGGCCTGACAAAACATCATCACTAACTAAAAAGATTGGTAAGTATCTTAATTAAAATAAATATTTTTCATTTTACTACCAACTTAATATAGTTTATGGAGTGGAAAGGTAAATCTATGCTTTCAAGGTCGCTAAGTTGGATAATGAGTAAGGATACTGGAAAAAGAATCGATGCATTTGAGTTTTGCTGGAGAAGAGTACTGACTAGCCCTTGGATTGCCAAAAGAGCAAAGAAGTCTGTCTGTCTTGAAGGAAGGACATCCAGGGTGCTCCTTAAAGACAAGGGTGGTAGAACTTTGTCTCTTACATAATTTGGGCATGTTGTCTGGAGGGGCCAGTCCCTGGAAAAGGACATCATGCTGGACAAAGGTGAAGAGTCAGAGAGGAAGGTCCTTAACAAGATGGATTGACACAGTGATTCTAATAGTGGGCTTGAGGTTATCAGAGATCATGAGGATAGGGCAGCATTCAGATCTGTTCATAGGCTTGCTATGAGTCGTAGTCTACTTGGTGGTCCCTAACTACAATGTAATATGTTTCTATGGAATAGCTGTAAAGTTAGATATTTCTGTATTGAGACTCAAAGTACACCATTGCATAGTATTTCCAAGTTCAGAAGAAACATAAAACTGCCTCATCACTGTTTCTGTCAAAATCTTAGAAGAAAGATTTAAGTGAAATTTTTTCCCTTGATTTGTGGACCTTTTGTCCCCCTTGACAAAACAAGAACCCTATGCTCTACTACTTACTTAATTACTATTTATTGTGCCGTCACTATGATTATCCCTAACAAACATACTTCTTTATCCCGTGTCATCTTTTCCCTCCTCCAGCATCTTCACAGAGGAACATAGTTTATCTCGTATTCATTCATACCCAAACTCACAGATAATTCGGACTCATAGTGACCCTCCATCAAGTTTCTGAGGCCAAAAATCTTGAAAGTGAGCAGAGAAAATTAACTTCAGGTGAAGAAACAGAGTCAGAGCAGTGACTTACTTGCCAATATTCGTTATAAATCATTAGTGGAAATAGGCTTGTAAATGTGGTCGTCTGAGACCTACGTCTTGCTGTAGCTCTCATTCTCAACTTAGGCATCATGTTTCAGAAGTAACACAGCTTAATTTAGAATATATCTAGTGAATCCCCACTCCCTATACTTATAAGCTCCCTTTATTTAGTATATTAAAATTATAAAGCAAAAGAATATGATGTCTGATGTGGTGGTGTTTTGTTTGGGATTTTTTTTATTGCTATTTAAATGATATTTGATAGAGTGAACTGGGTTGCCAGTCCATGTTAAATACGCATTATGTTTTGCAATGTTTGTTACCATTCCCACATTGTAGCAGCACACTTCCCAGTCCCTCCATGTTTCTTGTGTTCATTTATCCTTTCTTATCCTTTCCTACTTTCTGAGCTTTATCCCTGGCAACTGCTGCCCTTCTGATTTTTGCCTGGTTGGTTGTTCTAAGGCCTGCATTCTTTTCTGGTGATAAAGATTACTTTATAGGCCTATCTTTTTTACCATTTTTCCTCACCTATTTTCATTTCAGATGATACCATCTTTGAAAATCCTATGGTGCAAGAAGCAATACGAATGGGATTCAGTTTCAAAAACATTAAAAAAATAATGGAAGAAAAAATTCAAACCTCTGGGAATAACTATAAATCCCTTGAGGTTCTGGTTGCAGACCTAGTGAGTGCTCAAAAAGATAGTGCACAAGATGAATCAAGTCAGACTTCATTGCAGAAAGGTACGCGTGGGGCTTTTTATAAAGTAAAAAAACACGTAACAGTACCATATTATGGATAGTATATTCTTGGCTTTGTGTCCTTTTGTTTCGCTTTTTAAATTTCATTGGGGTTTTTTTTTAAAAAAAAAAGGAAACACCAAACTTGTGATCTGAGTGGAAGTTTAGAGCAATCTGGTTTTCCATTCAGCAGTTTGTACACACTAGGTTTCAAGACATACAATATCCACATTATAACTGCATGCCTGTGTGTGTGTGTCTCTTTCTTTCTCTTTCTCTCCCATTTCCATTCATCTTTTCCTAGCCCTAAGCAAATGTTACCCTTTTTTATCATTTATGCTTGATTGCTCTAAGGAATGCATTCCTCCCTGGTGGTGTTACTGATCACCTTTATAGGCCTGTCTATTATTTGACTAAAAATTGAGTCATAGGGATCATTTCAGTTCCAGACTTTAAGAAGAAGGGCCTGTACTCAGGAATTGTTTTGCTCCTCTTATCTCTACCTTAGAATGAATACTTTTTTAAAGCTTCTGAGATTTTTTTCAAAAATGTCAAGATCTTCAGCAAGATGGCTGCAGCAGTGGACTCAAGCATATCAGCAATTGTGACAATGGTGCGGCACCAGGCTGTGTTTTGTTCTGTTTTCCATAGGATTACTATGAGTTAGGACTAACTCGATGGCACCTAACACCACCTGCCAACTAGCTTCAATAATAATTATTGATACTCTTTTAAGATCTGGTTTTTTTAATTTCACCTTTTCCCCTCTGTGGTGTTTAAGGTAAATGCTAACTTCATACATATCATTCCCCTATGAATACTTCTGTATCTAACAAATCAAGTGATTTTTTTACATGACCATAACACTGTTACCACACTTAATAAAATTTCCCCCAATTATCTTAAAATGTTTTTGCCATTCATGAGTTCTCATACTGTTAGCAAATAAAATCCACAAAGACAGTAACTTTTAAAAGTATGAAATAATAAGATGCATATACCCTTTTAAGAAAATGTTGTTGTTAGGTGCTGTTGAATCAAGTATTACTCATAGCAACCCTATGAACAACAGATCTGAACTCTGTTCTATCCTACACCATCCTCAAACTTCTGACACACAAGAACCCGTTGCAGCAATCACCGTGTCGATCCATCTGGTTGAGAATCCCCCTTTCCTTTGCCAACCTTCCACCCTTCCCAGCATTATGTCCCTCTCCAAGGAATAGCACCTCCTAGCAACATGTCCAAAATATGTGAAGTGAAACCTCATCATTCTTGCCTCCAAAGAGTACTCTGCACCCTCTCCGAGACATACCTGTTTGTTCTCTTGACCATATAATTTCCTCTTTGAAGGATGAAGTATTCGTATAATTACCTAAGTCATGAAACAGTATAAAATTGGTGATTTTAAAAATCACATTTGGGGGAAAAGCACATTATTTGATATGAAAAAAAATTTCACAAAAAGCTTACTGTTCTTTCTTTACAGATAAATTAATTTAAAAGCTCTACTTATTTTGGTGTTGATTTACTTGTTCTTTCTACTATATCATGTGATCTGCATCTATTAAAATAGAAATACAAGCCACTATGGCATTTTCCCTGGTTTCTTAAACAGAGCTAAAGTTTAATTAAGTTTGACAATATAGTATTTGTTTTCAAACCTGAAGTTATTGTCTGCCACACCAGGATTTAATGGGCTGCAATAGAAAGAAAACAAGGGACAGAATATATTAAAAAGTTGCATTGTTTCTATCCATAGAACTAGGTGGGGCTGTTATTACCACTGAGATTGCAAACTACTATGATGTGAGGAGGACCTAAATAATTAGCAGTTCTCAGGATCAGGGAATGGATGAAATACATTAGTTGACCTCTCTTCAAAAAGTCAACCAAGATCATCTAGTCAATTTCAGTCTATAACAACTTTATCAGCTACAGTAGAATTTCCTCATAGCATTTCTAAGACTATAAATCTACCTGGAAGCAGACTTATTTTTTCTTGTTGTGTACCGTTGAATCGGATCTGACTGGCACAGGAGCCGGAGCATCTGGTGGATTCGAACCACGTGCCTTTGGGATTGCAGTGCAGCTTTTTGCCACTAGGCTACCAGTGTTCCCTAGGAAGCAAATTATTAACATCTTTGTCCAGCAGAGCAGTTGGTGAATGTGGACCACCATCCTTTTAGTTAGTAGCCAAGCACTTCCATCATGATGTTACCCATGCTTCTTACTAAATTGAGAGGCCAGCATTCGATACAGACTACTTCTAATGGTAGGGCTACTCCCTATTTCTCTTCTCAAAGACTGATGAGGAAAGACTGTTGCTAAGAATGTATTTCAGTACTATACAGAATAAGGGTACCATTGAGTCTGATAACCCTTCGATGTATGTTCAGAAACAATAAAAAACACCTAGGAAGATATTATTCATCTTTTTATAGCTTCAAGTGGCCTAAATGAAGTGAAGCAGATAGATACTGTGTTGTGCGGGTGTTTTTTTTAAATCACATTGTGTCTTACTGAGAAATCTTAGATTTAGTGCTAGCTTTTATTTTATTCTAATAGCCATGTGTCAGAATTCTACAATTAACTATTTTTTTTTAATTGCGGGGTTTTTTTGTTTTTTGGTTTTTTTTTTACTTTTCAAAGAGAAAAACCAACTGTGGGTGGGGTGAACAGGGAGGAAAATGTACAACAATGAATGACTGTAAATCCAAAGTCTCTGTAAACTTTCATTTAAAAAAATTTGCATACTGTGTACAAGTAAGACCTTTATTTGGTTTATGTGCTAAAGCACTTATTTTAATCCTTACCTATGTATTACTGTATATGCTATATAAAAATCAAAGCATGCACATGTTTTCACACTTGAGTGTGGTCTAGTAGTAAAATGAATAAAAGTGTTTATTTAGAAGTGATGATTTAAAATAATGTAATACAAAATATTAGCCAGTAACATTAAAACTTTCCTAGCCTATTGCCTTTATTGCTTCTGTGCTAGGAACCTCCTGACTGAAGACAATGTTTATACAAAGTACCTTATAGAAACCTTAAGGCTAAACCAAGACAAAACCATACGCATTGCCCTAAGCTATGGACAGAGTAGAACTGCTCCATAGTGTTTCCAAGACTAACGTTTACAGAAGCAGTCTGCCATTTCCGTTAGCAGCTGACACTTTAACATTGAGCTTCCAGGATTCTTCCCTTAATGCAAGGATGAAGTAGTAGTAAGTTAGTCTTGGGAAAAGGAAAATCATCATCATTTCAAGTAGATGACCGGTATGCAAGGTGGAAATAAGAAAAAAATATAATTGATACTCTAGGTGGTAGATACATATTCCATTGTGATCTGTAAAACAAATCATAAACTATGAGAACCAAAAGAACCTCAACAGTCTTATACCTTTCATTGCTTCAGTAAGAAAACAAATGTACAAAATCAGTCTTACTTTCCTTCTTTCTTAATTAATGTGATTAGTAGGGGACTTTTTTGGTTACTGATGATTTGATATACATCAGTCCATAATCCCATCTCTACATGCATACTTTCTTCAGCCCTGAATGCCTTTTTTCAATCTGAATACCTAGTCTTATTCTCAACTCCACCTTTAGTTCCCTGTTTCTATTAATGAACTCATCTTTCAAGACTCAAATCAGGCATCACTTCTTTCACATTTTTGCCAATGCTCAGAGCATTTTTTTTAAAAATTCTTTTCAGTCGTGCCCATTAGACCCAACTTCTTGAGGGCAAGTGCTTTATGGTGTCATCTTTAATGCATTTCCGCATCAGTGGTTCTTTGTTTGAGCCTGTAATTTTGATTATGACCAGGAGCTTGCTTTCTAAGAAGAAAGAGATTAAATAATCCTTTTCTATCCCCTGCCTTGAAAAATCTTTAAAAAATTTTTTTATTCTTGGATTTCTGTCATTTATTTTCTTTCTGGATATAGCTTATGTTATTATATTCTAACAATATTTTTAAAACTATTTCCTTGAAGATGACTTCCATTCTTTGCCTGAAATGAACAATTCAATGAACTAATACAATTCCATATGATAGATAAATTAGTAAATAAACAGCTCACTCTTAAGAGAAGTGTTGCATATAAACTGCTACTCTGGCCCAACTATGATTATCCTTGCATATGAAGATTTTTCATGATGCAGCAACTCTAGATTGGACTCTTTAAGAACATAGCAAGCAAATAGAGCTAAGAAACCTTTTTCAAACACAGAAATGATCGTATCTTCAGTGGCTCTCAGGATCAAGGCAAAAGTCCTTTACATGATTTCCAAATTGATGATCTCTTGCTATTTTCTCTTTAAACTCTGCCAAGCCTTCCCAGTGCACTTATGGTCCATGTTCTCTTTCTCCTCTTAGGACCTGCATATATTGTTTTCTTTGTCTGGAAAAAAAAATTAATCTGATTCAAGTAAATGTTTACAGAACGAACTGTGTTCTCATTTTACCATTCATACAACTTTTGTTTTACAACATTAATTACAATGCCCACACTCTTCCCATTCCTCTCTGTGATTCACCTTTCCATTAATCCTTTTTCCCTAGCCATTCCTGCCTTCTAGGCTGTATTCTTGGGTAAATGCTACCCTTTTGATTTTATAATGTTGATCTAAGGAGTAAATATGTCCTGGGAGTTACTGTCTACAATATTAATGGAAAGTTTAGTCATGGTACATTTTATTCCAAGTTCAAAGGGTGACTAAGTGTCACAGTCTTAGGGGCTCTACCTGTAAGTGCAGACATTTTTATGTTTTTTATTTTTGTTGCCTAGAACACTTCTTCTTTTACTATTCCCAAATCCCTCTTCTCATCCTAGTTAACTCCTATTCATTGTTTAAGACCCAGTTCATAATAATTTTTTCCAGGATTAAAAATTTTTCTTTTATACATGTGTACATGCGTATACTTGTATGTACTCCTGTATTCTTCATAGCACATTGTAATACCATTATCACACTGTATTATAATTTTCTATTTACTTGTGTTCCCTGCTTGGTGATTTAGTACTGGTAGCCTGAGGTATATATATTTGTTCATTGTTCTGTCCATGGTGCCTAAGACCTAGCTAAATGTTCAGTAAAATTATGTTGAATAAAACTAAACTGTTGTATCCCATTCTAGTTTTCAGAATAGTGTTCCATAAAACATTAAAATGAATGCCATGAAAAAAGGAGCTCCAGTATTCAGGGGGAATTTATTGTGAATTTCCAAGAGAGAATATGTATTACAGTGTACTTCACTATATTTGATAACAGTGGTTCCCAAATGCCATTGTGCCTAACCTCAAATTTTAGATTCATTGAATGGGGCCTTGGAATTTGTTTTTTTTTAAATTGCCTCAAGTGATTCTCATATGTTGCCAGATTTGGAAACGACTAGTATACAATGGTTATAATGATAATGGAGTTGAAATATGTAATGTGTTTAGAATAATGCCTGGCCTTGCTGTTATGTTGCTGTATTGTTGTTAAACTGCTGTTATTATTGTCATTATGGTTACTTTTACCCATGCTACATTTTGTAGTATGTTGGGCAAGGTTGAAAAAAATAAACCCACAGTATCAGCTATATGCTGTTGGCACACAATCTCAGTCTCTAGACCTGACTTCTTCCTGCATTCAGAAGTTAACTGTTGAATTATCCACCGGACCTTTTTGTCTGGATGCCCTGCAAGCACCTCAGAAATAGCTAGAGTTAAAATTTTACTCCCAACTCCTTTTCTTGTTCCTCTTGGTATTAGTATCCCCTTTGCCAGGCTAGAAATACTGCTACCAACCTTAGATGTATATCTTCATCTCTTCTATCCATTCAGTCACCACATTTCCATCTCATATCACCAGGCCCTTTCTACATGTTACTCCTTTCACCTAACCTTTGCCTCTCTGGTATCTCTCACTCACAGCCAACAAAGTCTTCTTTCCCAGAGCACTTTGTACACAACTTTTTTTATACCTTTTCCCATTTTGAAGGTGTTCAACATCTGTAGTCTCATCTAACATCCTTCTCTACCATGGTTATGAGAGCTGCTGAAGAGCAGATGCCATGTTTTGAGTCAATCTGGTATCTATGTCCCAGCGCTAGTTTAGTGCCTGGCATATAGTAGATGTTCAATAAATGGTTGGTTGGCTCAATGTAAGCCCTGAAAAACATGTCTAAAATTATCACATTTTCTCTTTCTACAGAAATTAGTACTGAAGAGCAGCTAAGACTTCTGCAAGAGGAGAAGCTTTGCAAAATTTGTATGGATAGAAATATTGCTATTGTCTTTATTCCTTGTGGACATCTGGTCACTTGTAAACAGTGTGCTGAAGCAGTTGACAAATGTCCCATGTGCTACACAATCATTACTTTCAAGCAAAAAATTTTTATGTCTTGATCTAACTGTACAGTAGGCATGTTACATTCTTATTACTCTGTTGGAATGTGTGATATGAACTGACTTTAAGTAAGTAATCAGCATCGAGTTTCATTAACATTTCTTGCCCAAGTAGAAAACCAGGTGTAAATTTTAATGTTAGAGTTTGCCGTCTACAATTTAAATTTCTTGAGTTTTCAAGAAATTACTTATTTATATTCTTTTTTTAAACTGTTACTCAATTGAAACTCTAGATTAAGAAACATATTATATATGATCACAATGTGTATTTGTAGTACACTCAATTGATTTGTAAGTGAATTAATCAACTGAAGTTGTTCATTGTTTTCAGATAGGCTTGGCAAATGGAGCATTCTGTGTAAAAGTGGAGATTAGATTTAATCTCCCCAATCACAAAATTTGTTCTGTGTGAAAAAGGAATGAACTGTTCCACACTGTCAGAAAGATGGAGATTATTTTTAGATTTGTGTGTGTGTGCATGTTTTAGGATGATGTAAATTTTGTTTTGAAACTATACACATTTTTGTGTGGATGATTTGAAAAGTGGTTTTGCCATTTTAGGAGTATTTTAGTGATAGACTATCATCTAGCCTACATGTATTGACATGGAAAGATGTCAAAGATCTATTCAGTGTAAAATGCAAGTGGCAAAACACTATGTCTCATATGAGCCAAGTTTAGGTATGTATGTTTTGTATATGTATAGAACAAAAAGTTTGGGAAGATACATACCAAACTGTTCAGTGTTGTTTCTCTTGAGGGGCTTGGGTGGTGGGTTCCTGAGGGGGTTTATAGGGGCTTTTCACTTTCTACTCTTTATTTTGTTCTGTTTGAAATTTTTTATAAGTCTGTATTAATTTTATAATCAGAATTTTTTAGAAAGTATTTTACTGATTTAAAGGCTTAGGCATGTTCAAACGCCTGTGAAACTACTTAATCGCTCAGCTTTAATTTTTCTAATCCAAGAATGCAGGGCAATTAACCTTTTTGGTGCCAATGTGAAATTTAAATATTCTACTGTTTCTCCTGCTTTGTGGGTGAAAAAAATATTGCTGAGTTGTAGTTTTCTGACAGGTAGACCATGTCTTCTTCTCTTGTTTCAAAATATTTCTGATTTTGTAAAATGAAATATAAAATATGTCTCAGATCTTCCAATTAATTAGTAAGGATTCATCCTTAATCCTTGCTAGTTTAAGCCTGCCTAAGTCACTTTACTAAAAGATCTTTGTTAACCCAGTATTTTAAACATCTGTCAGCTTATGTAGGTAAAAGTAGAAGCATGTTTGTACACTGCTTGTAGTTATTAGAGACAGCTTTCCATGTTGATTTTCGTATCATCTAGTATCTTAAAGTTCTGTGTAAATTTTTGCTATTGATTATAAAGTGTATATAAGACAAAATATCTTCTACCTAAATTTTGTTGTTTTCTTGAGTAGTAGTAATAGTAAATACTTTCTGAAATAAACATTCTCTCAAGATCCTTAGAACCTCTTGAAAATTAAAAAATACTGACAAGAAAGGGATAGTTGTTGAAATCTTAAAAGTTTTTGGAAATCCCTGTTTTCTCTAAACTCTCATTAAAGTACTAATAAAAAAATAAAAAAAAATAATCTTAGAAGTTGAGAAAGAATACACTTAAAGAGTTCGCAGGGGGTGAGAAAAGAGTTCGGATGGGTCAGAATGGGAATATTTTAATGTGTCATAGACTGCCTTGGCTTTATACTACAAGATTCTCACAGTGACCTGTTGTAGAGGTCTAGTGAGGCATTATACTGCAGAAAAAAAATTTAAGAATTAAACTTTTAAAATTATATTTTCATTGTATTTTGTAAGAGAAAGAGTATTGTCATGTTCTCCTAACGTGTATTACTTTAAGTGATAGTCATTTAAAACATTGCATATTTAAATGAGAATTTTAACTAAATAATGGCTGCCCCGTTACTATTTTATCATATAAAGTCTCAGGCTTTACCTTTGCAGTGTCTTCCAATGAGGTTTGTTATATCCACTATGTTTAATTTGTCATATATAGCTTAAGTTTTAGGTTTAATTTTAAAATTTTCTACAAGAGGAAAAAAGACTGAAAGTATGTTTTTCAAGACACTTGAAGTCTAGTTGCTAGCCAAGGATTGAATTGTTTTAGCAGCTCCCTTTTCCTGTTCAAAAAGCTACCGTGTATTAAAATTCCTCTTTCAAAAACTTGGATGTTTAGAGTGAAGTAAGACCTTTTTTCTCTCTGAGTTGTGAAATTTAATGCATGAAGCTGATGTGGCTAACAAGTTTATTTTAAGAATTGTTTAAAAATGCTGTTGCTTCAGGTTTTTAAAACCACTCAGCACTCCAACTTCTAATCAAATTTTTGAGACTTACTTAACTTTGCTGTGTTTGTACTATTAAAAACACTGAATCTTTCCCATTGAATTATATAAAATTGATCATTTGCATTGTAAAAAAATATAGCTAGATACAATTTTCCTGAGGAGGAAGGGAACTCATTCTTGGTTCCTTTTCTGTATAAAGTTCACTCTTGGATTTTTAGTTCATCACCTATTTTACTATATTTTAGCTTTGTTTAATAATGAATAGTTTCTGTATTCATAATTTAGAATACTAATCAAAAGCCTTTTCTTAATTTTTGAGAAATAGGCTTAGTGTTTATAAATTCCAGCTTATTTAATAGTGTCATATTGGTTTTTTACTAGATTTTTGTTATTTTTCCCGTTTACGTAGGGGTTAAAGTGAAATAGGTTCATGTACCTGTATAATGTATTACTACTCTGTATGTTAAGATCATTTGTGGTTAATATGTAAAATTTAAACTTTGATAGTTGATTTTTGTGTCCTGTTTTGATTTTGTATTTTGTACTCTGAATGGAGTCTACCACCATAGCATTAACTGCATGTATTGTACCTTTTGGACCCAAATCCATTTTCTTTTCCTGACTACCCAGTGTTGAATCAGGAAAGAAAAGGGTGAGAGAAATGGAATGAGTTGTATATAATTTCCATTAGAGAAATAAGAATTTGGGAAGGAGTGTTTGATAGATGCATCTTTTTTTTTAAGTCAAATCTGCTCTTTAAAAAAAAAAAGATAGCCCTTTCTTCATTCGTGAAAAGAAAGTTATAGAGCATGTGTGTTAAGCACCAGTACATGTTGCAAATGCTGATTCCTTAGCACTCCCTACCCTCCCTGGGCTTGCTAGGACCTGGAAATTGGGGCTGAAACTTGAAGAAACTCTTACATAATGATTTGAGCTAAAAGTTAAGAGGAAATTTTTTGCATGATAATTCTGTCAGTGATTCTTAGTCATCTTTTTTTCCATGTTTCTTGTACTTAATATGTAAATTACAGTATATAAATAGGGAAAAGCCCCTGAAAATATTTCAATTTCATTTTTAAAAACTTTTAAAAATTACTCTTAACAAATTACTTGAGCTGCTCTGATAAAAACAATTGGTTTATTCCCGCCTTAAAAATTCATTTCAGTTTGACTCATATTCCTAGCACAATATGAATTTCATTCGCAGCATATTAGATTCATTTGCAGCAAGTTAGAGTGTCAGGGCTAGAAGTGACCTTAAAGAGTATCTCATTTATTCCCCATATTTTACAGGTCAGGCAACTAAGGCTAAATGCTGTGCAGCCATTTAGTAGCAGAATTTAGGATTGGGACATAGTTACAAAGGTGAAATCACCAAACTTCCTCTCCTGGGAGGTCTCAAATGTTTCTTACTTCAACTGTCCTTTTCTACTGTATTACAGTTGTCACTACATATTAAATGACACTATAAATGATAAATAAGACAATCTTAAATACACCTATCTTTTATTGTACAATACCATATTAATTTTTGAGTGGTAAAAGTATTTTGAAGTCTAAGTTTTCAGATAATGCATTTAGATTTTTTTGGTATTTACTACATTTGTATGTATCATTAATAAAAGTTTAAAATTACTATATAAGTATATTTTATTGCTACTTTGTAACAAAGTTGCATTTTTATTTGATGTAACAAAGGCTTTCATGTAGTTTGTTAGATTTTGCTTATTTCCCTCCCCCCCCATCATTGATTCCCTGTACCTAACCTGGAAGAATGGTTGAGTCTTAAGTTGTTGTGTTAGTGTCGTGAATTTTCACGTGCAATGTATAGAGGTAGAATATTTGTGAATATAATTTTATGGCTTTTTTTCCATTTAATATGAACCTTTGCATCAGTGTAGAAAACTAAGAAAATTGCTTCCCAATCTATTATCTGGCAGTCACTGTAGATTAAAGCTTATTTTTCTCTGAATAAAACTTATTCAATAAAGTACTATTCTTTAAAGTTATATGGCTTGTATTAGTTTCATTTTTTTTCCTGGGGGAAAAATATCGATTGCTGGCTAATCAAGCACAACTTATTGCGACCCTATGAACAAAAGATCTGAATCCTTTCTTTAATTATTGCCATTTCTTAAAGTTTGAGTTTCCAGAGACATGTTTAGGAAGTAGATGCCACTCCTGCTTCCAAAATTGTCTTAAACTGGGAGCTCCACCAACACTGTCCACCATGGGTAAATGTTACAGCATTTGACAGCCCAATGGCACAAGGTTCAGCATCACAGCAAATCCAGAGCACCTCAGCATAGCACATTGACAGAAGATTGCTGAATGTTCCTCCAAAATATAATATCAAACAGCTTCTAAATACGAAGGCCCTCCCCAAGATCTTGTTGACAACAAACAAGAGGCTTAAATAGAAAACAACCAATATAATATATTGTTGAATAGCCCTCTAAAATATTAAAATGTAAAAATCATTAAATATATCTTAGGTCGTGAAGATAGACATACAGTACACATCAAATCCTGTCATGTTTATTCTTTGAAAAGATATGAATTTCCTTGCTAATTTCTATGATTCTTTAAAATTGTATCTAAAAGTTCAAATACGCAACATCTCTTTTTCTCACAAAGATTAATCTGGTTGTCCCAAGAGTCCCTGAGAAAGCTTGAAAG